AACTTGTTTTCCATTAACAACTAATGCTCCACCAGAATCTCCATTACATGTAGAACGTGCGTCTTCCCCAGAAGTGCAAATATGAACATCATGAATAGTTCCCCCAAAATACCATACATCACAATCTTCGTTGGTGATGATTGGAAACTCAACGAATTGAAGATAATCTGTGTAGCTAGTTTCGCCATCATTAATTTTTCCCCACCCACTTACCACGGCATTTTCACCAGTTAAATCTTTACCAACATCAGACCATGATGGTAAATGTACTAATTGAATTATATCTAGAAATTAAATTAAAACTAATCAGTTAAGAGATTTTCATATTAAAAATTATCTTTTACCTGAAATGGCAACTGCTTCATCAGGTAACGTAATAATAGAAATATCATTAATGATTGCGGTGGGGTTGTAGTTTTCGTGGATAATGTAGCTAACGGCGGTTATGAAGGTTTGTGTAGGTTCGTTTTCATCTCTTATATTGTGGGCTCCAAGAACCACATCGATAGAAATAGCACTATTCGATTTAAGAAAAATTAATTTATATTGATTAAAAGATTAATTAAAATTCAAAACTTACGATTCCGTACAATGTGCCGCGGTTAAAACGTATTTTGTGGAAATCAAAGAACCTCCGCAGAAATTAGTTTTAGCGGCTTTATGAAGAAACAAAGCTGCTTGATGTGGGAAGTTGTGTGGATCTGCAATTTCTCCGCCGACGATTCTTTCGGTTGGTGCTTCAAAACCAGGAGGAATAGGAATCGAAATTTGTGGATAAGATGGATAAATATCCCTTAAAGTGTTTGGTTTAGGCTAAAAAAAATTATAATTATTAATTAGTGTTATTGTAAGAAGAGTTTTAAAATGTTCTTACCACAGCAGTACTAATTGTAGCAAAAGCCAATAAAATAATTGGAACAATCATTTTGTTTGTTAATATTTTAGGTATTACCTTTTCGCTGAAAGATCAAGTTTTGAAATGGTTCATTTTATTCCCCGCTTTTATAGTCAAATGAGAAATTTAAAAAATTTGATTGAGTATCTGATTTTAATTTTTTTTTGTGTTTGAATTTATTTAATACAAATAGATAAGTCATATCGTATTATTTGCTCCCGTTTTCTTAGATGCACCGATTTTTAAATTTTAAGATAAACAGCTACTCATCATTTTTTTAATTGAGCTGGTTAGTATTTGTTGTTGTTTTATTTATTTGTTGTCTAGATGCGGGTTTTATCTAAAATAGATTTATATCTGCTGATTGATACATTCGAGATTATTATATTTGCGCTAAATAGACGCATGTTATTGTTTATAGAATACGTTTTTGTTTGGACGTATTTTTCTTTTATTAAAAAAAATTTTAATAGGCGTGATGAAACAATTAATTGAAATATAAGAATGTTTTATAAACAAAAAATAAGAAATATAAATATTAATTTTCGGATACTTATCGATACAAGTACTTATCAATTGACTTCAAGTGGCAATGAATAGATGAGTGGAGTTTAATAAATAATCACAACTTTAAACATTTTTAACAATAAAAATATGTTTTAAAAGTTCAAATTAATTTTTTATAAATTAACTTTCTATTATATTTAACATATAATTAATCTTTTGACACTTTGTCTTCTTAATGTTGTGTTTCTTTTTTTTTCCTCTACTTAATGTTGTGTTTCTTTTTTTTTTTCCTCTACTTAATAACTTTAATTAGCGTTGTCTGCGAAAATTTGCAGTATAATTGAAATCTCGTTAGTCGATTTTTTGGTACTTTCGACAGATCAAGATTTCATCTTCGAAGAAGAGATTTTCCAAGTAGAAAAAGTTGTGGTCAAATTATAACAGAAAACAAGGTAATTTGTGCATACTGATAATAATAGATAGTAGCTAAAAGAGAAGCCCCGAAACACACGAACCTGATCATCACTTCATCGTCACCATTAAATGAATACTTAATAAATTCCTATCTAATCTTACGCAATATTTTGCCTTATGGTGATAGTAGCTAGTCACCTGAAAGCAGTATTTTATCCTCTGCCAGCGGTATCTAGTCTTCTGCAAACAGTAATTCGTCTTTTGCATTTTTTAAGTAGATAGTGTAGCAGGTAGTGTTCTGTAAGCAGTATCCCGACGTCGATTAGCACTATCTAATCTTGGAGTAGTAGTACGTACTCTTCCATCTGCAGTATCTAGTTTTTTTGCAACCAGTACTATGTCTTTTACAAGTACTATGTAGTTTTCTGCAAGCTGCAGGTAGTCTTCTGTAAGCAGCACCTAGACGTCTATTAGTAGTATCTAATCTTCCATCAACAGAATTTAGTCTTCTGTTAGTATTATCTAGTCTTCTCTCTTAATTATTCATAATTTATATCGGGAGTTGAGCTCCAACTTTCATATCATCATATTGGAGGTCTTGTGGTGTTCTCTTGGAAGTCTATTTTTAACAATCTTTGGTAATCTTGAGGCTTCCCTATGTTCAACATCGTTTCTCCATTCCCGCCTTCAACCCAACCCATCTCACAATGCCAGCCTGGATATCGCATATCTCTTTGATATCTTCTCTTTTTTTTGTGATGCCACAAAGTGTATCCTGTTAATGATCGTAACGTTTTAATCTCCGCTGTTCCGAGGATTCTTATTTGATAGCATATTTCGCTCTTCTCTCTATAGAGAATTGTTCCTTTGTGTGTTTATGGTAAATTGGATGCGGGTATTAATATCCGTTTTGAGGAATCTTGTTTACTAGCTATAACACATAGATTGCATAGAATAGATTGCATAACTAAAATATCTACATTTTTGAATACGGTATTTATGCACTGAAAAAACATCATTCTATTTCAACATCAACAGACAGTATATTTATATTATAGTATATTTGCAGACATAATTGAGTTTAACGGTGTAATTCTGAGCCTATTATTTTGTATCACATCCAAGTTTCTAGTAATCGAGCTAATAACAGTAGATTGTAAATTTAGGTATGTAATTAGTAGTGTATCTATGTAGGCTTCTATTAGCTAGATTTACTTTTCTATTTGCAGTATCTAGTCTTCTATAAGGAGTATCTAGTCTTCCATTGGTAGTTTCCAGTCGTTTGTCAGCAGTACCGAGTCTTCTGTGAACAGTATCTATTCATCTGCAGTTGTTCTAGTATTCCTTTAGCACTATCTAGTTTTCTATAAAGAGTATCATTTATTAACAGTATCTTGTCTTGTTCAAGCGGCATCTAGGCTTCTTTTAGGAGGATCTAGTCTTCCTTTGACAGTAAGCAATTCTTGAGTTCTATTGGCACTATACAGTAATCTGTCAGCAATACTAGTCTTCATTCAACAGTATCCAGTCTTCCATTAGCAATATCTAGTCTTTGACAAACAGTATTTAGTCATTTGCAGGCATTCTTTTAGCACTATCTAGATTTCCATAAAGAGTATCATTTATTAACAGTATCTTGTCTTGTTCAAACGGCATCTAGGCTTCTATAAAGAGGATCTAGTCTTCCCTTGACAGTAAGCAATTCTTGACTTCTATTGGCACTATACAGTCCTTTGTCAGCAATACTAGTCTTCATCCAACAGTATTCAATCTTCCATTAGTTATATTTAGTCTTTGACAAACAGTATTTAGTCATTTGCAAGCATTCCTTTAGCACTATCTAGATTTTCATTACCAGTCTAGTCTCACATTAGCAGTATCTAATCTATTATTAGCAGTGTATAGTTTTCACCCATTGGTGCCCAGTCTTCCATTCTCAGCATATACTCTTCTGCAAGCACTATTTAGTCATCTGTAGCAGTTCAAGTATTCTCTTAGCACTATCTTGTCTTTCAGCAGCAGTGTTTAATCTTATTCAAGCAGTATCTAGACTTCTAGAAGGAGGATCCAGTCTTCCATAAACAATATTTAATCGTTGGAGCTAGTAAAAACATACTTAAATGTAATTGCAAGATTCAAGTTCCGTTGGGAAAAATTGTAGTTTAATCGTATGTTATTTTATTCAATTTATATGATTAAAATTGCATTTAAGTAAGTAATAAGCATTTAAGTATTTAATTTCAGCGATATTTAGTCTTCTGCCAGCAGTATCTTGTCTTCCTCTTGTATCCAATCTTCCATTTGTAGTATCTAATCTTCTGTAAATAGTAAGACATATTCTGCAAGTAGTATCTAGACGTTTATTAGCAGTATTTAATCTTCTAGTGGCAGTATGTACTACTGTAGTATGTAGTAATATGTATTTACTGTTCTGCAGTCAATATCTTGTCATCTGCAAGCAAATTTAATATTCTTTTAGCACTGTGATAAATTCCGTAACATTTTGAATATTGCAAGTATCTAGTTCCAGCCATGTATCCAGTCTTTCGCAATATGTAGCAATATGTAGCCTTCACCCAACAAGAGGCAAAGAAAATGACAGCTTTAGAACAAAATGTAGTTTTGATGATATTTATGATCTATACCTCCATCGCATCTTCATTTAGAGAGCAGATTTTATTTTTTTCGGGACTTTTTTTTTAAATTCGTATTTCAATTAGTAATTTAAATTTATTTAGAAATAATACAATATTTAATAAATATTTTTTGAATATAATTTAACATAATATATTAATTTGCTTCAATATCAGTATTGGTGATTATCCATTCCACAAAATTAGAACTTCTTTGTGCAACTGCAGGAAGAGGGTCTGAACATCCCATTGCAGATCCGAACGAAACGATACCAATCTAAATAAAGAATTAAATAATAATATTCGGAGATTATTTTGTGATAAAACCATACCAATTTTCCATTATGAATTAAAGCACCTCCAGCATCACCATTGCAAGGACAACGATGTTTTCTGCAGTCCATACAAATATGGTGCGGTTGAATCACAAAGAATGATTCTAAACATTCTTCATTACCAATAACTTCTGTGTTAGTTCGTCGTAAAACATCGGATAATTCCCCGGCATCATCGCTTGTATATCCCCAACCAACAAAAGTAGCTTTTTCACCTTCTAAGTTATCTTCGATGTCGTTTAATGATGGTAGTTTTGCTAAACCAATTTCATCTAAAAAGTAAACGATAAATTAATTTTATAATTTTTTTTTTGTGTTTAATTTAACCTGATAAAGGCACCGCTTCCGGTAATTCTATTAACACCAAATCATTTAACCCAAAGAAAATAACAATATCCTCATGGAATCTAAATTTGTTGGATGTCATACGAATTTGGGATGATTCAGTTTTGTTAATGTTATGAGCCCCGAAAACAATTTCGACTTTATTTGCGCTAAAATTAGATTTATTAAAATTATGAATTAATTAAAAAAAATTAATTAAATTACCCCGCTATACAATGTCCAGCGGATAAAACGTATCTTCTAGTTATTAAAGATCCAGCACAAAATCCTTCTTCTTGCATATGTGGCATATCGATGAATATGGCAACTTGAAAGTTGTAGTAATGAGGTGGTTTCACTTCGTCTCCATCTACTATACGCGCATCAATTAGTTTTGAGTTGGAAAATGTTGGTGAAAAGTTTGAATTTGGTGTTAATTGTTTGGCCTAAATTACAAATATTTTGTTTAAAAGATAAAATTAAATATAATATATTTACCTCCGCCAAGAAATTGATGCAAAACAAAAATAAAGTTATGAGTTGCAACATTTTGTTTGCGTTATTTTTTTAATAATAATTTTATTTAAAAAAAAATTGGTATTTATATTAAATTTTTTATCGTTGCTGTTTGTTTTTTTGTTGGGATAATTCGTCGTTATTTTCCAAACGCAAATTAATAATAATAATAATCTTATTTATTTTATTGTTGTCTGATTTTATTTATTTAGTTTTTGTTTATATCTTTTCTTGTATCAATTAACGTTGTATTTTTATCTTAATAATCGTTTTGGTAACTATATAAGCCTGCAATTTTTTTCTTCAAGTATAAATCAAAAAAAAATCCAAACCAAAATCGTCTTAAATTAATTTAAATCAACATGTTTAACTTAATAACTTTTTCAATCCTTATTGTATTGATTGAGGTGAGTTTAACAACAACCTTTTTTAAATCTAACAAAACAAATTTATTAGGGAAATAATTTAGTGGACTTACAACCAAAAGTATCACCACCACCTTATTTGAATCGCTTCCATTTATCAAAAAGCGAAATTAGAATTGTTAATGGAAACGAAGTCGAGCCAAACTCGATTATTTACCAAGTTGGAATATTCTTTGATCTTCCAGAAGGAAAACAAGGTTTCTGTGGCGGATCTTTAATTTCTCCTAATTACGTCTTAACAGCTGCTCATTGTACAAATGGGTAAATTAACACTTTATTGGCACAATTTTTTTTTATTTATTTTTATTGTAGAAGTTTAGGTGCGCTTGTAATTCTTGGCGCTCATCGGGTTACTGAAAATGAACCGAATCAAATTAGAATTAAATCCTACGATTTATACACCCACGAACTTTATGGCAGCGAAAGTCTTTTATACGATATCGGATTAATTCATCTTCCGGAGGCGGTTGAACTTAACGAAAACATCGGGATTATTTCCCTTCCTTCTCGTGCTCAAGAAAACGACAATTTCGAGTTTGAACCTGCTTTGTTAACGGGATGGGGTAAAATATCAGATGAATCCACATCATTATCCGATTATTTACAATACGCTGAAACGCATATTATGGAAAATCGATTGTGTACTCTTTACTTTTTTGGTTCTGTTAAAGACACCCATATTTGTTCCGACGCTCACTACAGTAGACAATCTGCTTGTAATGGTGATAGTGGCGGGCCGTTAGTGGTTGATGGTGCTTTGGTTGGTTTGGTTTCTTTTGGAACTGGTTTGGGATGTGATGTTTTATGGCCGACTGTTTATACTAGGATTACCAGTTATTTAGATTGGATACAAGAACACTCCGATGTTGTTATTAACGAATAGATATTGATAGCGATAATATTGTTATTGATCGGGTTTCTAGAAATATGGTTATAAATCACCTGTATTTATTATCATTAAACATTAAATAAAAATTCTTATCAATATTAACCTAATAGTATAAAAGCTGAGGTAGTTTAAATAAATATTCAAAACCTAAATCATTTCAATAAAGCAACAATGTTTAAACAAATATTTATTACAACAATAATCACCTGCGTTTTTGTTGGGGTAAGTTAATTAATCTCTTTAAATAATTAATTAATTAAAACTTTTAAATAGGGAAATCCCCTATCAAAAATCATTAATGGCAACGAAGCCGATCCCAATTCAATCCCTTATCAAGTTGGTATTTTTTTTAAACGTGCAAATAATAAAACAACGTTTTGTGGGGGTGCCTTAATATCTGAATACGACGTTTTAACAGCGGCTCATTGCACAAATGGGTAAATCCAATAATTTTAACTTAAAATTTCAATTAAAACCTTCCCGTTTTAGATCAATCCTTGCTGAGGTAGTTCTAGGTGCCCATAACATTTGGAAAGAGGAACCAAATCAAATTAGAATTATATCCTCCGATTTCATCACACACGACAATTATAAAGTCGGTGTAGATGATATCGCTCTTATTCGGTTACGAAATCCAATTAAATTAACGGATCAAATTAACATCATAAATTTGCCATCGCGCCAACAAGAAACAGAATCATTTTTAAACGAAAACGCTACGATTACTGGTTGGGGTTTACTTTCTGATGATGCCCCAACGATTTCCGATCATTTATACGTCGCTCAAACGAAAATTATGGACAACCGACTTTGTGGAATTGCATATTTTGGTTCTATTAGAGATAGTCATATTTGTTCTGAAAGTTATGGTAATCTAGGGGCTGCGTGTGATGGCGATAGTGGTGGTCCTTTAGTAGTTGATGATATATTAGTTGGGTTGGTATCATTTGGATCTGTACTTGGGTGTGAATCACAATGGCCAACAGTTTACTCAAGAGTTACTAGTTATTTAGATTGGATTAAAGACCATTCTACTATAAAAATTAAATAAATACATGTTTTCAAAAGCTTTATAAATATTATTATCTAAAATAAAGTATATATATAAACAGTAAAAACGTATATAAAAGAAAATAATCCCATCGATCTTTAGAAGAGCAAAGATGAATTTCCTTACTTTATTCTTTTTAATTCAACTCGGCACGATTTCTATTCAGGTAAAGTAAGTTTTAAATCGATTTTATTAACTGTAATAAGAAATTTAACAGGCTAATGATGAAAGATCGCGTCGTGTCAAAAGAGTAGTGAATGGATGCGAGCCAAATCCCCTTTCAATTCCATACCAAGTTGGTTTAAAAACTCATTTCGATACCGATTATATTATTGATTGCGCAGGAGTTTTAATTTCGCGAGATTTCGTTTTAACTGCAGCTCGTTGCACTCAAGGGTAAATAAAAATAAAATACTGTCTCTATTTATTAATTTATTTGTTGATTTTTTTAAGTGTGATGTCGATATATCTGTATTTTGGTATTCATAATTTTGAAACGGATCCTTACACCGTGATGAGTTCAAAAAACATTTTCAATCACGAAGACTACAACGCAGAAACCTTAGAAAACGACATCGCATTAATTGAACTTCCACACTCGGTACCGTTAAATGATAGAATAAACATAATTCCATTACCATTTTTGTTCGATTCTTACACAAATAAAATTGGCACAATCTCGGGCTGGGGTGTAACTTCAGAACGTTCAGAATATCAACCAAAACAATTAAGAAGCGCTATAACCAAAATTATCGACAATGCTGAGTGCTCAAATTATTTTGATTTTGATATTCGGAATACTAACATTTGCACTGATGGTACAGATGGTTTCGGATCGGTTTGTTATGGCGATGCCGGCGCTCCTCTTGTTGTCGATGGAGTGTTAGTTGGTCTTGCCTCATTTATACATCCAAATGGATGTGATTCCAAAGCTCCGTCTGTTTATACTAGAGTTAGCCATTATGTGTCTTGGATTAACGAAAAGATTAGGGATGCATCTTTTACTGTTAATCAGATGTATATTAATTAAAAAATTGAAAATTTTGGTTGCATTAAGAATATGTGTTCAATAATAAGTTCATTAATGTATGTATAATTAATAAATAAATAATTATCAACATTTTTACTCTTATTATTTATTGACAGAAAGATCTGTTAACGAAAGTGGATCTATAAACCAAGTAGTCTAGTTCTAGTTTTAGTTGTTATTCAGCGCTTGACTGTGCGCAGAAGTTTATAGCAAGAACTTCAGTTTGAAAAATGGTTATGTCCGATCTGAGGGGCAATTTAATATGGATATTTGGTCCACCAATGCCTATACCTACTCCGGATCCAACTGTCTTTGAAGCATCGGTGTACCAGCCAAGGGCTTCTTTTATGATGTTATCAAAAGCACCCTCTATGTCTATGAAAGCACATAGGACTATCTATTTGGTCGCAATTGTCTCCTCAACCCAACCCAACCCTCTATGTCTATGAAAGCACATAGGACTATCTCTTTGGTTGCAATTGTCTCCTCTAAAATGCTTCTCAAAGCATGGAGAGCAGTAATTGTTGATTTTGTTTTTTGATAAGCATGTTGACTTTTATGGAGTGGATTGGTGACAAGCAGTCGGTACCTAAGGTATTGATCAATTACCTTTTCCATCTCTTTGAGGAGAAATGAAGTTAGGCATCAGCCTAATTTCAGCTTTCACGTCTGTATCCCTTAGGATCGGCGTTTGAATGCCTATCACCTTTTGATATAAAGACCACATTTATTTTCCTCCATAATATAGGTGTATAGCTGAAGCTATAGGTAGTTATATATAGGGATATTATTACTGGCAGTAGGTCTTCTATGCCCTTTTGCAGAAAAAAAGCAGAATACCTTACTCTGTTGGGTGTGATGATTTTTTCAGGTATACTGCAAATCTTACCAGATGGACGGGTTATATCCATAACTTCAGCGTCGGTATCCGTATTAGAGCAGACTTTTGAGGAAGGGAAGTGTGTGTTAGCATCTTTAGTATATCTACCGTCTTGTTTGCATGTTATGGTCTTTCACCAAAATCTTATGCAGGCGGGCAACTCGAGCCATATTATCTATGCTTTCGTAGAAGCTGCATCAGCTTATTTTTTTTTTTTTTCGAATAGCCAAGCAAAGCAGCTCTACATTTTTATATATTTTTATTTAACTAAAACTAGAAATAGCACTAGACCAAGAACTAGAAACATTCGGATTTAGCCGTGCGTCTTCAGACTTCTATATTAATTATATGTTAGTTGGGTTGGTATCATCCTCAGTCTCGGATGCGGAGTACTAAGAGTATGACCAACTATTTATTCAAGAGTTACAAGTTATTTGGATTGGATTGAAGCCAAGTTACGTTTTAACTGCAGCTCATTGCACTCACCGGTAAACAAAAAGATTTACTAATAAAAAATTTATTGATTTATTATTATTTTAAGTGGATTATTAGTAGATATATATCTTGGTCTTCATAATTTTAACATGGATTGTTCTTACACCTTGATGAGATCATAAAATGTTTACAATCACGTAAATTTCAACTTAATAATATTAGAAAACGACATCGCATTAATTTAACTTCCAAAACCGGTACAGTTAAGTAACAAAATAATAATAATTTCATGGAAAAAGCGCTATGGTCTGTAACAACGTGTTGTGTTTTCTGTACGAAGAAAAATTTAGACGATATATACTTTTGTATTTAATATTTTAACCAGTTTCATTACAATGTGAGTTTCACTCCCTGAATGAGATTCAATATAGGATCGAAATATAGGAATGATTAATTGAGTGTCATTTGTAATCCAATATCCTATTCTGGAACAACATTTTACAAGTTTGCTAATGGCATAAACAAATATCTCCTGCTATATGATAATTTCATTACCATCTTTATTTTGGGACCCTTTTTTCTGTAAACAAATTTGCCACAATCTCTTGTTGGGGTGCAACTTCAGATCGTTTATATGAAGATCCCCCAAAACAGTTGAGATGCGCTATTACTAAAATTATAGGCAAAGTTGAGTGCTCACGTTATTACAATGATTTTTTAATTCAAGATAGATTGTTGACGATGGAGTTTTAGTTTTGTATTGGTTCCTTTGTACATGAATATGGGTGTGAATACAAAGCTCCATCTGTTTATACTAGATATTGATAGCGATAGTATTGTTATTGATCGGCTTTCTAGAAATATGGCTATAAATCACCTGTATTTATTATCATTAAACATTAAATAAAAATTCTTATCAATATTAACCTAATAGTATAAAAGCTGAGGTAGTTTAAATAAATATTCAAAACCTAAATCATTTCATTAAAGCAACAATGTTTAAACAAATATTTATTACAACAATAATCACCTGCGTTTTTGTTGGGGTAAGTTAATAAATCTCTTTAATTAATTAATTAATTAAAAAGCTTTTAAACAGGGAAATCCCCTATCAAAAATCATTAATGGCAACGAAGCCGATCCCAATTCAATCCCTTATCAAGTTGGTATTTTTTTTAAACGTGCAAATAATAAAACAACGTTTTGTGGGGGTGCCTTAATATCTGAATACGACGTTTTAACAGCGGCTCATTGCACAAATGGGTAAATCCAATAATTTTAACTTAAAACTTCAATTAACACCTTCCCATTTTAGATCAATCCTTGCTGAGGTAGTTCTAGGTGCCCATAACATTTGGAAAGAGGAACCAAATCAAATTAGAATTATATCCTCCGATTTCATCACACACGACAATTATAAAGTTGGTGTAGATGATATCGCTCTTATTCGTTTACGAAATCCAATTAAATTTACGGATCAAATTAACATCATAAATTTGCCATCGCGCCAACAAGAAACAGAATCATTTTTAAACGAAAACGCTACGATTACTGGTTGGGGTTTACTTTCTGATGATGCCCCAACGATTTCCGATCATTTATACGTCGCTCAAACGAAAATTATGGACAACCGACTTTGTGGAATTGCATATTTTGGTTCTATTAGAGATAGTCATATTTGTTCTGAAAGTTATGGTAATCTAGGGGCTGCGTGTGATGGCGATAGTGGTGGTCCTTTAGTAGTTGATGATATATTAGTTGGGTTGGTATCATTTGGATCTGTACTTGGGTGTGAATCACAATGGCCAACAGTTTACTCAAGAGTTACTAGTTATTTAGATTGGATTAAAGAACATTCTACTATAAAAATTAAATAAATACATGTTTTCAAAAGCTTTATAAATATTATTATCTAAAATAAAGTATATATATAAACAGTAAAAACGTATATAAAAGAAAATAATCCCATCGATCTTTAGTTTTGTTCCCACTGAAGAAGAGCAAAGATGAATTTCCTTACTTTATTCTTTTTAATTCAACTCGGCACGATTTCTATTCAGGTAAAGTAAGTTTTAAATCGATTTTATTAACTGTAATAAGAAATTTAACAGGCTAATGATCAAAGATCGCGTCGTGTCAAAAGACTAGTGAATGGATGCGAGGCAAATCCCCTTTCAATTCCATACCAAGTTGGTTTAAGAACTCGTTTCGATACCGATTATATTATTGATTGCGCAGGAGCTTTAATTTCGCGAAATTTTGTTTTAACTGCAGCTCGTTGCACTCAAGGGTAAATAAAAAGAACATACGTTTACTGTCTTCTATTAATTTATTTATTAATTTTTTTAAGTGTGTCTTCGATGTATCTGTATTTTGGTATTCATAATTTTGACACGGATCCTTACACCATGATGAGTCCAAAATACATTTTCGAACACGCAGACTACAACGCAGAAACATTAGAAAACGACATCGCATTAATTGAACTTCCACACTCGGTACCGTTAAATGATAAAATAAACATAATTCCGTTACCATTTTTGTGTGCGATGTTCGATTCTTACACAAACAAAATTGGTACAATCTCGGGCTGGGGTAAAACATCAGATCGTTCACAATATCAACCAAAACAATTAAGAAGCGCTATAACCAAAATTATCGACAATGTTGAGTGCTCAAATTATTTTAATTTTGGTTTTGATATTCGGAATACCAATATTTGCACTGATGGCAAAGATGGTTTCGGATCGATTTGTCATGGCGATGTCGGCGCTCCTCTTGTTATCGATGGAGTTTTAGTTGGTATTGCCTCATTTATACATCAAAATGGATGCGATTCCAAAACTCCGTCTGTTTATACTAGAGTTAGCCATTATGTGTCTTGGATTGACGACACGATTAGGAATGCATCTTTTCCTGTTAATCACATGTATATTCATTAAAAATTTTGGTTACATTAAGAATATGTGTTCAATAATAAGTTCATTAATGTATGTATACATAATAAATAAATAATTATCAACATTTTTACTTTTATTATTTATTGACAGAAAGATCTTTTCACGAAAATGGATCTATAAACCAAGTAGTATTAATAAATAATAAAATAACTTCTACTTGCTTTATTTAAATATACAGTCGTACATGTTTCAGGAAATTATTCCCATCTTCAGCGACAAGCTATTAAAATAATGAAAATCACATTAGATATTAATCTTATGGTAACATTTAAAATCAAATAACTAGAATTAAAAATGAAAAGTGAACTCTGAACATATTAAAAAAGAACTCACCGTCAGGAACCGTAAGAAGGATCACAAACCAAGCAAAACATATAAAAAACAATAGTTTTCTAAAAGAAAGACCATGTTAAAATGAATTCAAAATATAATAAAAATTTTT